TTAAAATATATTTTCATTGATTTCAGAGAGGAAGGGAGAGAGAGATAGAAACATCCATGATGAGAGAGAATCATGGATTGGCTGCCTCCTGCATGTCTTCTACTGGGGATTGAACCCGCAACCCAGGCATGTGCCCTTGGCCAGAATCAAACCAGGGACGGTTCAGTCCAAAGGCTGTCACTTTATTCGCTGATCCAAACGAGCTAGGGCAAGTTCTCAACACACACACATAAAATTGTAACTCAGTGAGGTGGTGTGAATAAGTTAACTAACTTTATGGTGGTAATCATTTCACAATAAATACATAAATAAAATTATAACATTGTACACCATAAACTTATACAATATTATATGTCATTTATATTTCAATAAAGCTGGGAAAATATTTAAATAAAATCAACCTACAGCATCAATCTATAAATTTTCCCCGCTATATACAATAATTAAATCAATATGATTCTAGCACTCTATAATTGAGAGATGTATAAGAGAACAGATGGCTCAGAAATATGTCTTATTACATATTTTTAAAATAAATATATTATAAAGGAGGTATTATAAATCATGGTGAAAAGATAAATTATGAATGTCTGGGGAAAATTGGTTAACTAATTTGAAATTTTCTTTGTAGTTGTATTTTTTAATTGTTCTCAATCACTAGGCACCAAAATTTCCTTTTTTAGTTTAATATGAAAACATTCAAAATTTATAAAGTGTTAAATTTTTTAAAAGTCAAACCATTAAAAAATCTAAAAATACACGCATAGCAATCACATTTTAAATATTTCAGGGCCTTCTAAGTTTAAAAGCAGAAGGATTCACAAAGAAAAATATATTTAGATTTAAAAAGAAACATTTTAAATAATAAATGGATGAAAATTTTCTAAATCTGACAAAAAATATAAACTTAGATATCAAGAAGCTCAGAAAACCCATGCAGGATAAGTAAAAATTAAACCTTACCAAGGCACGTTATGGTTAAGATGCTATTTTCCAATGTTACTTAGATTAGGCTTTTTTCTTCCCTACCTCCTTCAGGTGATTATGTTATCATTTGTAATATAGTCATGTTCATTTGTCACAGTGTGTATTCCATTTTGGAAACATATACACACATATAGTACACTTTCTGTTTTTAATTGTATTTTTAGGGATGTGAAACATTATCATGGTTTTAAGAATCAGAACTACAAAAAGGTACACTCAGAGACATGTCACTCTTCCCTCATCCCTCTACCCAACCCTCATTCTCCCATTCCTTCTTTCCTGCTCCCACCCATCTCCCTAATTACCTGTATGTAAACAATGTCATTACTTTCTTGTTTATCCTGTAGGTTTAGTCTGTATTTATTTTTGCACAAATGAGTGTGTGTGTGTGTGTGTGTGCGTGTGTGTGTGTGTGTGTCTGTATCTGTGTGTCCATACAGGGTGTCCCCCAAAATGCATACTATTCAAAGTATGTGTATACATTTTGGGGGGACACCCAGAGAAACCACTAATCTAAAGAAAAAAAATTGTACTACAATAAAATAAAAAATTTGTTAATGAAAAAAGACCTTTTAAAGACTGGGATGGGGTAATAAAAGACAAAGACTAGGAGAAGATATTTGCAATACATTCACCTAACAAAGATCAATATTCTTATAATTAGAATACTTAGAAAATTCACACAAATTGCTAAGAAAAAGACAGATAGGCAAAAAACTGGATCAGGCACTTCACTGAGCAGGATGTGCATGTGACTGATAAACATACAAAAACGGTGAGCAATTTCACTTCTCACCAGGGAAATGCACATTAAAGTGGAAATGTGATACCACTACATACTCACCAAATGGTTAAAATGAAAAGGAGACACAATTACAAGTGTTGGTGAGGCTATGGAACAACTGGGACTTTCATACACTGGTGGCAGTATCACTTGGTACAATTTTGTAAAACTTTGTCAGTATCTAATAAAGCTGAACATATGCATGCCCTATAATCCAACTCTTCTACTCCTGAGTTGTGGTATATCTTTATAGTAATGATCCCCATTGAAACATGCCTCCTTGTATCCATATCCCTTTACAATATAATGCTGCTGCTGCTCCCTGCAAGAGATGGAGCTTTCCTACCCGCTTTGAATCTGCAGCTGGCCTTGTGACATGCTTTGACAAACAGAAGATGGCAGAACTGATTTTGTGTGTGTTCCAGAGCATAGACCTTAAAAGGCTTTGCAGTTTATGTCTTTGATCTCTTGGAATCCAGCTGCCATGTAAAGAAATTCAGGATATCCTGTTGGACAGATAGGCTGCATGAAGAGTTTAAGGTGTCCAAGTTCATAGCTAACACCAAAAAGTCCCAGGCATGTAAAACCATTTGGACCTTCCTGTGCCACCCAGATGGCTTGAGTGAGCCCAACTGATACCATCTGAAACAACGACAAGTCATCCCCACTGAGCCCTGTTCAAATGCCTGACCCACAGAATCATAAGCAATAAAATGGCTGTTGTTTTAAAGCCACTAAATTTTGGGGTGGTTTGTTATGTAGCAAAAGATAACTGAAAATGAGTACTTAACAAAAGAAAAGAATATATGTTTACCAAAATGGACATGTACAAGAATATGCATAGCAATAAGTAACATTTAAATTACCAAAACTGAAAACAACTCAAAATTCTATAAACAGTAGAATGAATAAATTTTGGCATATTAATAAATATGGAATATTATTCAGCAATAAGAATGACCAAACTGCATCAACATAGATGACTCTCACAAATACTATAAGTTATGTAAAAGAAGCCAGACTCAACATTCTATGCTTCCATTTAATTAGAGAATTTCAAAAACAAGCAAAATTAATCTGGGATGTAGAAGTGAGAAAAATCGTGATAAGGGGGGTGGGTAATGATTGGAGAGGACAGTGGGGATTCTGTGGTTTTAATAATGTTTTATTTCTTGTTCTGGGTGAAGGTTACAAGGGTTTGTTTACTTTCAGAAAATCTATTGTCATATACTTATGATTTGTGTACTTTTCTGTAATGTAAAGTTTACACAAGAAAATTAAGCCACTGTCCCTTCTTTGATAAAATTTTAAATATATTTTTAAATCACCAGCAGAATTTTGTAAATAAAATTTTTTTTAAATCAGAGATTGAGTGAATATACCTAGGCTGGAACCCAGCCATCTGTGGCTATGAATCTCCATAAGCAATTCTGATGCATAGGCTGAACAGAAATATTAGGTCATTAGCAGAAAGAATGCTGCTTCATTTCATCATTATTATATTTCCTCTCAAAAATATTTTTGACAAAGAACATGAAATAACTCTCTTTCTTTTAGATAATTGCAATTATCTAAAAGAAAGAAAATGCCAAAATACCTACTTCCACCCACTCCCACTCCTCAAGTTTGGCTATTTCACCATTCAAAAAGCTTCCATAGATCATTAAACACTTTAATAAGTTTCATACATATGTACTTAGCTCAAAGCATGCCATTAAACCACCATTCTTTTGCCACTTTGACGGGTGTTCACTAAATTATTTAAAATATGCTCTTAGATACCATAAACAGTTTAAATTAGAATAAAAAATTGGTTGCCCCAAATTGAAGAAAAAAGTTTTAAAGTCTAGCATCTACCTTGCAAATAACAGACAGATTTTAATTTGAAGGAGAAATACATGCCTTGTGAAAAACTATTATTTTAAAATCATGTTTTAACCATACCTATGTTGTCTGTCTCTAGACATCTATGCAGAAGACAGAGACAACTGTATTTAATCCACCATTTTCCCAAGATCTGTTTCATGAAATACTCAAGATATTTTTATCTCTCAGCACAAAAGTTTCATGTAAAGCATGGCTGGTGTAGTTCATTGGCTGAGCATCGACCTATGAACCAGAAGGTCACAGTCCAATTCCTGGTCAGGGCACATGTGCAGGTTGCGGGCTTAATCTCAAGTGTTGGGCAATTGATCAATTATTCTCTCATCTTTGATGTTTCTATCTCTCTCTCCCTTCCTCTCTGAAATCAATAAAAATTATTTTTAAAAATTTCATGGATAAAAAATAAGGTCCTCCTTACTATACTACTACTGTACATCAATAAATGGTGGTTCAGAGAAGGTATTAAACAAATTAACATTGAATGAAGCCTAATTCAGTTTTTTGAAAGTGAAAGGATTAGATTAAATCAGTGGTTCTCAACCTTCTGGCCCTTTAAATACAGTTCCTCATGTTGTGACCCAACCATAAAATTATTTTTGTTGCTACTTCATAACTGTCATGTTGCTACTGTTATGAATCATAACGCAAATATCTGATATGCAGGATGGTCTTAGGCAACCCTTGTGAAAGGGTCGTTCGACCGCCAAAGGGGTCGCAACCCACAGGTTGAGAACCGCTGGATTAAATGGTCAATTTAGTTGATACCCATCAGAGAGGAAAAAAGCCACCTGAACTGATTTCACAGTTGTTTGGTGTCACATAGACAAGACAGGTGGGCATCTTTTTTTTTTTTTAGAATGATAAATATCCTCGAACTTAATAAGAGGGGAAAAAAATTTTTCTTATTTTAAAACAAATGACAAGAAAGCATTTACAGTACAAAAGCTCAAAATAAAAATTCCCTAAAACAGATGCTAATATTCATAGAAACTTAATACATAATAAAGGTATTACCACACATCAACAGAGAGAAAACTGACCACAAATAAAAAGGGTTATCGCTCTAGCCAGTTTGGCTCAGTGGACAGAGCACTAGCAGGTGGGAATCTTTTAAATTATTTAGTGTTCTCCTATCTTCAGAGTTTACATCCCTTGATGAGGACAATTCAATATTTAATGAGTGCTTTTCAAAAGACTAAAATTTTACTTACTTGGATCTTTCTCTTGTATATGTACGTAGTTTTCCAACATGAAGGAAAAGAAATTGGATAACTGGATAAAATAAAAACACATTAATCATGAATGAACCCCAAATAGCTACTGTAATAAATGCTATTGGTGTTTCATGTAAGTCCCCTTTAACCTTCTAGGGCATTCATCTCCCAGCTGCACTAGGTCCCATCTCTACTTGCCCACCTCCTCTCAAGGACTGCCTTTGGTAGATGAGAGGTACCTTCCCTAAAGTTGCATAGGATTTCATATATCTGTCCTCCTGGGAGGCTGCCCATAGAAAATGACTAACTGAAGCAAGGGTATTACAGCCTAGACCCCCAGTTCCCTTGCCACTGGGTGGGATAAACCATGATGCACTTCAAAGCTCCCAATGGGATCAAGTTGAGGTCAAGCTTCTCCAGAAACCATAGTTTTGCCTAGTTTCTTCCCCTGTCCAATCTTGTTTTCCTCACTTCCTTATAGATTTTTCCTGAGAACACTCTTAGGAAATCACTTGTACCAGAATCCTTATCTCAGATTCTGCTTTTAGGAAACCAACCTAATTCAGCTACTAAATTTTGTTCATTATGATCTTTTTTGGTAGTGAGATGAAGAGTTAAGGGATACTCTTAAATGTCAAATATATTTGGGAAATTAAATAAGGAAAGATAGAGGGAGGGAAAGATGGAAACCCACCAGCATTCCAACCATCACCTAGATCAGTGATGGTGAACCTTTTGAGCTCGGCGTGTCAGCATTTTGAAAAACCCTAACTTAACTCTGGTGCCATGTCACATATAGAAATGTTTTGATATTTGCAACCATAGTAAAACAAAGATTTATATTTTTGATATTTTATATATTTAAATGCCATTTAACAAAGAAAAATCAACCAAAAAAATGAGTTCACATGTCATCTCTGACACACGTGTCATACGTTAGCCATCACTGACCTAGATGCTGCCTCTATGCCTACCAATTATCTGCAAAAACCTGCATTTATACAGCACAAATAACTTCTCCAAGCCCTGTCACCCATAAAGAGTGACCATGAAGGAACCTTATCAACCTGGGAGTAGGTCTGGCAGTTCAGAGAAGGCTTTCCACACAAATATCAAAATGTGTAAGTTTAACACTGTTAATGGGTTTGTCAAGAGTTAATAGAAACCACAATGAAACACCACTGCACCCACACTAGAATGGCTATAATAAAGAAGACAGATAATAACAAGTGTTGTCAAAGATGTGGCAAAATTGGACCCCTCATACACTGCTGGGGGGATGTAAATGGTGCAGCTGCTTGGAAAACAATTTTGCAATTACTCAAAAAGTTAAACACAGAGTTACCAGATGACCCAACAATTCCACTTCTAGGTATAAACCCAAGAGAATATGTTCCCATAAAATCTTGCACACAAATATTCATAGCAGCATTATCCACTGAGAAATGAATAAACAAAATGTGTGAAATCCATACAATGGAATATTATCCATAAAAAGGAATGAAGTACTGATATACACTACAATATGAATGAACACTGAAGATATTATGCTAAGTGAAAGAAGTCAGACACAAAAGGATCACATTTTCTGTGATTCCATTTATATGAAATGGTGAGAAAAGGCAAACTCATAAAGACATAAAACAGATTAGTGGTTGCCAGGAGCTGGGAAGAAGGGGAAATGGGGAGTGACTGCTAATGACTATAAATGGGTTTTTTTGGGAGGGGGTGATAAAAATGCTCTACAATTTATTGTGGTGATGGTTACAATTTTGGGTATATACTAAAGGCCATTAAATTTTACACTTTAACTGAACTGTATCTCAATAAATCTGTTATAAAAAGAGTCAATATTAAAGAATGTACTAAAACTAGAATGTGTGCATATAAAGCATACCAATTTGAGAGCTCACTCTACCTTTATACTCACCACTACATTCCACAGTGCTTAAAAGGACAGCTCACACTGTGGGCTTCTAATCAAGGCAAAGGGAAAATCTGATTGAATCATAGTATATCATTTTTATAACTGCCAAGAATAAATCCAGCAATGTCTTTGATACTTTTTGAAATTTTCTTAATTATTTTTAAAGATAATGTAATAAATTTACATATAAATATAATTGTTGAAAACTACAAACAATACAGAATGAAAATGAGAATTCCTCTCCCATCCACTCCCACTCCTGTCCCCAGAAATAATCACTGGAAACACTTCGCAGTATAGCTTTTCCCAGACTTCTGCTGTATGTTTAATTTTCTTTCATATATATGGGATAAAACTCTACATTCTGTCCTACAAACTGATTTTTTTCATTAACAATTACATTGGACATCTTTCTAAGATATTTTTATTACTAAAAAGTACTTTTTTCATCAATAAGCATTAAAGTTTAATTTAAATATTGGGGTTATTTTTTTTTTGCAAGCTTGAAAAAAGCCTTCCTCACGCATCTATATATTCTTCTAGAACTTTCATTTGTTCGTTCCCAGGAAATTCTTCCAGTTTTTAACACCATAAAATGTTGTTGTTTTTTCTTCACAAAGTAACAACTTCCTACTGGGACACGTCCCCAAAAATAGAATAAAGCCATTTTTATTAGTCAACTAGGTATCTGGCAGCCCTCTTAAAAATGTGAACTTCAGAATTGAAAAATACCATCCTCATCCCAAATCATACGCCCTCTCTCAACAGCTAGTTCCAAGACAATGTCACTATATCTTCTATTAAAGCCTTTCACTAAGGTTTCTCAGCTTAAAATGGTCCCAACCAGTCATTCTTTCAATAACAACGGGTAAAGAGAAGCAGTTTACCAAAATAAGAGACAAGCTTACAAAACAGACCTGTAATTGGCCTTGTTCATCAGCATATTCAATGGACTGGAAGATGGTGAGAGCATAACGTTGTCTGGTCTTCAACCGAGCTCTGTAACCCCGGTACCAATTTTGGATGATCAATGCAGCTCTTATTGCTGCAGACACACAGGACATGAAAGTCAAAGAAAAACAGTTACTATGCAGCTATGATGGGGGTAAGAAGGTGCTTCAGGGGAAAAAATACAGTGGGGCCTTGACTTACAAGTTTAATTCGTTCTGAGACCGAGCTCGTTAAGGAGCTCGTTAACTCAAATTACTCTATCAACTCAATGCAAAAAATCGTCCGAGAGACAGTTGGTATCTCAAAAAACTCGTTAGTCGGGACACTCGTAAGTCAAGGCCCCACTGTAGTCAGTTCACCTGGATTCCTCGGTTCTACACACATAAAAACTACAATCAATGAGATTTACCTTCATGTTTTTGTAAAATGTCCTTGTCTCAAATATTCATAGAAGAATAATGGCATGAATATTTTTGGAGCAAGAATACCTGAATTTGAATCCCAGCTCTGCTAATTACCGTCTATGTGGCTTTGGGTAAGTTATTAAAACTCTCAAAGACTCAGTTCCCTTATCTGTAAAATGGGGATAATAGCACTTACCTATGGCAATACTTAAGCATATATAGTCTATGCATGCCCTATGAAGTAGCAATTCCATTCTTCACTATATACCCCAACGCAATTGTCACACAGCCATTAGGGAGACATATGGCGATACAGTGCTTCTTTGTGGCAATACGAAGTTTGACACCAACACAGCCAGCTGTCTATTGCTAGGACAGAGAATGTGTAACTGTGGTGGATGCACCTATAGAGTCTTATGCCACAAGTGGAAGCAATAGATTCAATAAACCCATAGTAACATGAATGGGTCTTAAAAAAATGTGCTTCAGTTAGAACAGTTATTAAAAACTTAAAGACAGAATGAAATATAACATGATACCACTTTATATAAATTTAAAATACATATACACAAAACCACAATACACATTTCATAAGAGTATATACAAAGGAAAAGATACACACTAAACATAATAATTGGTTATTTATGGGGAGGGTGACCATCAGGTACATGGGTAAAAGGGAGTAAGCAAATTAATTAACATAAGAAAGGGTCTTGCACAAACCAATGATAACAATGCACAATGAATTAAGAAGTATGATTCACTCCATCTTCTACACCTGATAGTCAATTAACAAGTGATGGATGAAAATGAACACACCTCCCTCTGCATAGAGTTACTGTAAGGACAAAATGAGATACTACAGGTAAAGAGTTTAGCTAAATGACTAACATAAAGCACATGCTAAATAAATGGCAACTATAGTGGTAAGTACTCTCTTATTTGTGGATTATTCAGACACACTGACTCTCTTCTGGTAGCCTTTGAACTATCCTGTACCTTCATCGAAAGAGATCAGGCGAAAGATGAGATTAAAACACAGTCTCTTATGCCTTCCTCAAGTTTTAGAGTTAAGAGCAATCAACATCAGCTGCCTCCTTTTATTTATGCTGTAATTTTTCCCAGTTAGCACATAAAAATTAAGAGTTGACTAAAATGAGAACAATTTGAGTTTTGAAAGCAGAAATCCAGCCTCTAGTCCCAGTATGTTTAGTTTAGTACTGCTGTGATACACCAAGTAGACACTAATCATCTGAGGGTGTTTATTTATGAGCTCCCTCAAGGCTCTTGAGTTTCAGAGGCTCTCATTTCATTACTCAGCTTTCAGAAAACCCCGGGAAATAGACATTAGGTCAAATATCAAAATCTTTATAGGGAAAAACCACAGAGAGAAGAAATCGAATAACTTGTTCAATGTTGCAAAGCAAATAGTTGGTAGTACCATGGCTGAGATCTCATGTTCTTACCATATCCTTCTGGACAATAATCTGAAAGATCTGTTCTGTGGAACAGTGACTATCATGACCAAACAACCCTCACCTAAGTGTTTTTTGTTCACCAAGCACAATGTTCTAGTCCTACTTACTGATTGTCAAGCAACAGATTCATTCCTGCAGTCCTTGCCATACTGTGAAGCTGAGAGAGACTAACTTATTTAAGGTCATTTAGCCAATAAATGGAAATGGACAGCAG